TAATCTACTTTGCGGTTTTTCCCTTTTCGCGGTGGGTCTTGGAACTACCGTGATAGGAAAGACACTACTGTACTCTCCACTGTTATCATCTGTCAAGATATCACTGAAGTTTGTGTCAGGTAGCTGGTTACAGTCTTCCAATTCCCATTTAGTTGAAAAGAACAATTGTAGTACGTAGTACTCAGTAGTATTCCCTGTGAAACTGTCACTGCTGTCACTGTTTTCTTCCTCTAACTGCCGTATTCTAATGCTTGTGTGAAACAGGGAGTGAATTGCTGACTGCCCAACTGTCAACCTTATCTGATGTACCATGATAACTTCTAGTCCTCCACTAGTCCCTCAGGCCAAACAGAGACCAGTGGTTGAAGGATCAATGCTGGTCCAAGAACTTTAGCAGCATTGAGTTAGATGTTCTTTCTAAACTGATGGGTTGTTTGTCTCCGCCCACCCACTGAATGAGTCTTAGTATAAAAATAAATATTTGCCCCACGGTGGGGAAATTCTCAATCTGAGCCGTTGCAACCCACGCAGGCTGCCACAGGGGGAGCACCATTAAGCATGTGTTCTGTGGGGCTCAAACCCAGGACCTTCTGTGTGATGTGTAAGGCAGACTTGATAACCACTACACTATGGAACCACTGCTCAATTTGACTGGTACCGTGGTTAATCCCAGGTACATGGAACTCTTGACCTTTTTTAGTGGATTTTGTGTGGACATGGGTCTAGGGTTGTAAAATGAATGTGTTACTTGGGTTATTTACTTTTTAAATTAAACCAGATTTAACTTTCAGCGTCCATTTGCAGAGGCTTCAGCTTCAGGTCTTCCGTCAGACCGTGGTTGTCAAATTGAATGGATATTGAGATTATTGTTGAAGACAAGGATTTAAAAAACAACTCTTGATGCGTACTGCACGCTGCTGTCAAGGTAAACATTTATGACAAAAACCCAGCAACTCTAAAAACTAAAATTTAAGTCAATTTTTTTATTAATAATTCTATCATTTGGATTAGTCACATATAAAGACTTATGTATCTAACTGTGGTTTCTTTGTCCTGATGTTCCAGCAATAAACAGAAAAGAAGATTTTTGTCATATTTAAAACGCTCATTTATCTTGATAAAGCATGAATAAATGTGATTAACAGATTAATTGTGTTCATTAATGATCAGACTTAAATTATTTGACGGTTCTTATATCAAAGCCAGTCAACCTAATTATTAACTACATTTTGTTTTTTATTTACTGTCAAATACACTCTGTCTTTTGTTTCATCCAGATCTTTGGTCGCCTGACTTCGGCCGAGCTGCTCCAGCTGCCGTCAGAGAGATTATTTTCTGACAAATTTGCATTGAAGTCTGGCTCAGCGACCAGCAACGCTCACAGCAGTACAGTTACCTACACGCCATTCACTGTGTGGGGTCCTCCAAAGTATAGCCCAGACCTTAATTACACAGTCAGGAGTATGTATACTGCGAGTGAGTTCTCCCTGCAAAACAAGTGCTAGAACAACAGTGACACAAGAGTGTTCACATGTATCATCTGGTAGTCATCTGCGAATGATTACATAGGTCTTGATTTGGGTTCAGAATGAAGCATGCAGCTCCAGACGGAGCCAGGCCAAGCCTGGATGTGGAGCAGAGACAGACACTTTGTCTCCACGCTGTCCGCAGACTCCCATTCTGCTGTTTATTTGCAGTTTTGAAGACTGAGGATTTGTTTTTCACATGGGAGAGCAGTGTCTGCGCTGCTTCCATTAATGGCTATCTGATGTAGGCTGCAGCAAAAACAAATTCCCTGTCAGCTCTTGTCTTATTTCAGGTCTGTCTGCTTCAGTGTCCATTAGCTGCCTGTGTTAGCTGACTTTGCATATTATAGCCTTAATCCAGGATGATTTGTTAGTCAAAGTTGACCTTGCGTGTCCTGATGCAAACTCTGCTTTATTTTCTGTCCAGATAATTAAACGTGTAACATTCAGCACCTAAATCCAACTGGCTCCAGCCGTTATCACCAAGTCTGACTTTATCTTTGCTTACTCAGAGCCAGATGTTAATCCTCATGGAAATAGCTGCAGAATAAACGCCCTGTTCTCGTCAGGGTCGCTGAAAACGACTAAACAAAAGTGTGACCAGCAGCTGGCAGCGTCTCCACTGGCCCAGTCACACCGAGCATTACAGCTTGTTTGGCCCCAGTGTGATGGCCGTGGGCTTTATGGCCTTCTGCAGTTCAACCCACCTGCACAGTACGGCTCTGCTGCCGCAGTTTATTCCTGCAGTGAGAGCAGCATAGACTCAAGGACATTGGCAGGGCCACCAGATGAGAAGAGTTGGACAACAACATGATTCCCACCGAGCACAGGGAGAGTATTTACAGTGAAGAGTATTAGAGTATTAGCGTGTAACAAGTGATGTTGATGATGATCATTTATGACGATGATCAAAATTGGACCATGGCTCCATCCAGTACTCTGTGTAGTCAAAATCAGTATCGGTCCTTTATTGGTCAGGCCGTTGCAACCCACGCAGGCTGCCACAGGGGGAGCACCATTAAGCATGTGTTCTGTGGGGCTCAAACCCAGGACCTTCTGTGTGATGTGTAAGGCAGACTTGATAACCACTACACTATGGAACCACTGCTCAATTTGACTGGTACCGTGGTTAATCCCAGGTACATGGAACTCTTGACCTTTTTTAGTGGATTTTGTGTGGACATGGGTCTAGGGTTGTAAAATGAATGTGTTACTTGGGTTATTTACTTTTTAAATTAAACCAGATTTAACTTTCAGAGTCCATTTGCAGAGGCTTCAGCTTCAGGTCTTCCGTCAGACCGTGGTTGTCAAATTGAATGGATATTGAGATTATTGTTGAAGACAAGGATTTAAAAAACAACTCTTGATGCGTACTGCACGCTGCTGTCAAGGTAAACATTTATGACAAAAACCCAGCAACTCTAAAAACTAAAATTTAAGTCAATTTTTTATATTAATAATTCTATCATTTGGATTAGTCACATATAAAGACTTATGTATCTAACTGTGGTTTCTTTGTCCTGATGTTCCAGCAATAAACAGAAAATAGGATTTTTGTCATATTTATGAACGCTCATTTATCTTGATAAAGCATGAATAAATGTGATTAACAGATTAATTGTGTTCATTAATGATCAGACCTAAATTATTTGACGGTTCTTATATCAAAGCCAGTCAACCTAATTATTAACTACATTTTGTTTTTTATTTACTGTCAAATACACTCTGTCTTTTGTTTCATCCAGATCTTTGGTCGCCTGACTTCGGCCGAGCTGCTCCAGCTGCCGTCAGAGAGATTATTTTCTGACAAATTTGCATTGAAGTCTGGCTCAGCGACCAGCAACGCTCACAGCAGTACAGTTACCTACACGCCATTCACTGTGTGGGGTCCTCCAAAGTATAGCCCAGACCTTAATTACACAGTCAGGAGTATGTATACTGCGAGTGAGTTCTCCCTGCAAAACAAGTGCTAGAACAACAGTGACACAAGAGTGTTCACATGTATCATCTGGTAGTCATCTGCGAATGATTACATAGGTCTTGATTTGGGTTCAGAATGAAGCATGCAGCTCCAGACGGAGCCAGGCCAAGCCTGGATGTGGAGCAGAGACAGACACTTTGTCTCCACGCTGTCCGCAGACTCCCATTCTGCTGTTTATTTGCAGTTTTGAAGACTGAGGATTTGTTTTTCACATGGGAGAGCAGTGTCTGCGCTGCTTCCATTAATGGCTATCTGATGTAGGCTGCAGCAAAAACAAATTCCCTGTCAGCTCTTGTCTTATTTCAGGTCTGTCTGCTTCAGTGTCCATTAGCTGCCTGTGTTAGCTGACTTTGCATATTATAGCCTTAATCCAGGATGATTTGTTAGTCAAAGTTGACCTTGCGTGTCCTGATGCAAACTCTGCTTTATTTTCTGTCCAGATAATTAAACGTGTAACATTCAGCACCTAAATCCAACTGGCTCCAGCCGTTATCACCAAGTCTGACTTTATCTTTGCTTACTCAGAGCCAGATGTTAATCCTCATGGAAATAGCTGCAGAATAAACGCCCTGTTCTCGTCAGGGTCGCTGAAAACGACTAAACAAAAGTGTGACCAGCAGCTGGCAGCGTCTCCACTGGCCCAGTCACACCGAGCATTACAGCTTGTTTGGCCCCAGTGTGATGGCCGTGGGCTTTATGGCCTTCTGCAGTTCAACCCACCTGCACAGTACGGCTCTGCTGCCGCAGTTTATTCCTGCAGTGAGAGCAGCATAGACTCAAGGACATTGGCAGGGCCACCAGATGAGAAGAGTTGGACAACAACATGATTCCCACCGAGCACAGGGAGAGTATTTACAGTGAAGAGTATTAGAGTATTAGCGTGTAACAAGTGATGTTGATGATGATCATTTATGACGATGATCAAAATTGGACCATGGCTCCATCCAGTACTCTGTGTAGTCAAAATCAGTATCGGTCCTTTATTGGTCAGAATATCAGGATCGAAGATAAAAAAACAACAGCTACGGTCTGTGCAATCTGGTAGCTAAGCTCAACCATCACCTCAGCAATGGTAGGGGGAGAAAAGAAGGTATCGGATTGATATTGGTATCGACAGATACTCTAATTAACCCGTGTAAACATGTTAGTCAAATCAACGACTTGACGTGACACACTTCTATCACCTGGTATTCCCAACAGCCTTAGGTTGAGGGCGGGGCATATACTGAACAGTTCACCATTTCACAACCACTCACACCTACAGTCAATTGAGAAGTGAGTCCTATTAACCTTAATTCATAATCTTCATGGTTTGGGAGACTGGCTCAAACCAGTGACCTTCTTGCTGTAAGGCCAGAGCGCTAACCACCATGCACCTGCATGACCCAGTTTAAGTCTATGACTATGGCTCCAAAACATGTTGTATTTCCTAAGATGTAACAACAGTCACACTGGACATTGATCAACTGCAGCACAGTGTTCAGCAAACTGACCTTTATGTGTCACTGGTGAGCACCTCAGGTGGATTCCTGCAGCTGTGAAAGAAAAGAATTCCCACATTAGCTTCAACACTATGGTCTTTTTGTAAATTCCAATCCCATTTGAAGGAAAATCGATGAATAACTATGAGGGAGGTTGACCATAGATATGAGGGCAAGAATTTGTGAAAATAACAAAGCGATTTGTCTCTGTATTCTCTGTTTAACTCCATCAGAGAACTCCTTCTTTGTAGAATTGTGTGTGGGGGTGGGGGGTCGTCACACCAGGTCACAACCTCATTCTCTGACTCACCTCAGGAATTAAATTAATTTCTGGACAAATGTTCTTTCAGTTTGGGAAAAATTATCATTTTGACTTTTAACAGGCAGATAGATAAAAATAATGTTGCTGATTTGAATTTTTTTTCAGTTTAGTGAGCTGATGACAGGGTGACGCGTTAAAAAAAAAGATGTGATGATGGAACCGATCACACAACATGTTTATAGGGAAGACTTAAAAAAAAAAAAAGATTTTTCTCACTGTAATGTGTTTACATCCCGTGACCAGATGTGGTCACATGACCGTGTCACTGTATGGCTAAATGGACAGTTCTGCCTGTTACAGTCTGCTTATCACTGGATTTACCAGGACACAGTGTTTTCCAGCACTAACATCCTCAGCTGTGGTCGAGGAACAATCCTGATCCTGTCTGGCCCTGAGACATTTATCATGCCGCCCACCAGCCATAATTACTGAATCAATTAATGAAGTATGTGAGTAGGTTTTTCTCTTCACGCGTTCACACTGTTCCCTCGCCACTCAAACTGCGGCAAAGTGAACGGATGAGGCGACGCACGGAGAGGAACAAGAGAGCCTAACATAAATATCAAGTGACCAGCACCAATGGACAATGTGCAGAAAATGTCATGTCACTGCCTGGGTCACTTGGGACAAACGGTTGGGATCTGTAGGCAGTTCAAAGCCCAAGGAGAAGACTGAAGCCTCTTTGATGAAGGACAGGGAGCGGAGGAGGAGGAGGAGGAGGAGAAGGAGGAATCTTGCATGACACATGGTTTTCAAGGAATTAAGTTTCACTGTTTGCTGACACTGAGCAATTATCCTTTTATGATTGTGCCATGGAGCTCCTTCTCCCTCCAAGACTGAGGGAGATCCAGATTCTTTATATGGAGATGAGGTAGAAAAGAATAGGAGGAGCAGATGGGACGGGGTTTATTTTGTTTTTGTTTGTTTTTTTTTTTTACATTATTTTTAGTGGGTTTGTAATCAGGAAAATATGGTGGATTGAAGTTAGATTGAGAGAGAGGGGAGTAAAAAGCGGAGGAGGAGGAGGGGTGAGGAGGGGGGCGCTGCTAATTATGCATGGCGATTGTTGATGGCTTGATTGTCTGCGTCCAGCTGCACGGAGCAGAGCAGAGAGGGAGAGGGAAGGCGGGGAGAGAGGCAGACTCACTGACGCCAGGCTCGGAATTCTCCCATCCATTGAAAGAGAGAGGCGATTGTGTCCGACAAGCACCTGATCCCTGCCCAGACACACTACTGAGTGTGTGTGTGTGCGTGTGTGTGTGGTGTGTGTGTGAGAGAGAAAGAGGGATTTACGCACCGGAAACTCTGGAATCTTGCAGCCATGCTCTGTCATATGCATGTCAGACAAGGGAACTCATGTTATTCTCATGGATCGTCATGTTGGTGCTAATAATAATAATCATAATGTAAACGCTGATTGTATTTTCCCATCATTCCTCGCGTGTTCAGGCTGATGTCGGTTCTGTATTTGAGGTCAGAGTCTGCAGCTCACACATTTTACTGTGATTCTAAAATAGTTCTGGACCAAAGTCCAGCTGCTCTCACGGGTCAATACTGTGGTCTGCTCGTAAGTGAGGTCGAGCTGATGGGTTTGTCACGACGGGTCAGCGAGTGTGTGTTCGTGTGCGCGGGGCGCGCGCGGCCGACTCCAACATCTGTTAAACCTCTGCGTGAACAGGGAGGATGCGTCTCAGTCCGTGCTCGGTGCGTTTGTCCAGAAAGAAGATAAGAATACAGCGAACTCGTCCCGGCCCATCGTGTTAAAATCCTAAAATCATAACAGCAAAAGTTTCACAACACATTTACCAGAAATAGAAAGTTCCACTCCTTGATTCCGAGTGCGTGAGACGGGGTTGCAAAATAGTCGTGACGCGCACGGGCTGGCACCAGCAGAGTTGGAAAACCGCTTTTTTTTAAAAAAAAAAAAAAACTACTGTTGCATCCAGGCCAAGTGACACACTGAAAACAGGACGATCTGTGTTAGTGCACATCAGCCACTTCTAGTATTTGGTTTTAAAATAATAAAATGAGTAAAAGTGGGCAGACATACAGCACTCAGGTATATGTTATAAGCTCTAACACACGTCATACAAAGTAGTTCAACCAGAGGATGCTGTCGTTACCACCTGCAGGGATGTTGCCCTCTGTCTGTGTTTTCAACATTTCTTTTTTAACTTGGTGAGGTGGGTGAAGGTGAAGCCAGTAGGTGGCAGTAATTCAGATTTAAAGATAAAGCTAATCCTATCCTGTCAACCGTCCATCCAACGACTCGACCAATAACAAACAAAAGCAGAGCTAATTTTAAAAAAGAAAGATTTGATTTGATATAATAACCAGATATTTTTCCCGTGAGCCTGAGTAATTCCCTGGAAACATCTGCATTTGAATTCAGGAATGAAATGTTGATTATTAAGTGACTAATCAATGATCAATTGACATTAATAATCAATTATTTCCGTTTTCTAATTCAGGGAGCACGACTTTTTTTTTTTTACTTAAAATTTCAAAATGCTGTAGTTTTTAAAACGCTGGAAAATGTCAGCAGATGTGTTTAACGTCCACCAACGGAGTTTCCTGGATTTGCCGCTGACTGTGAGTGATTTATTAACGGTGATATAAACCTGTGGAGTCACTGAGCTCAACCTCTGTGTTGGTTTATATTCATTTTCATCGAGTCATGCTGCTCTTTCCTCATTACACAAGTTCCGTGAGTGTTTGGAAAGAAGTGTGTCTTCATTTCTCCAGAGTGCATCTGCAGAAGCGAGCAGTGGGCGGAGCTTAGAGCCTTCCACTCTGCCTGAGTGACAGTGTCGGATAACCAATGGGCTCTCCGAGCGCCTGTTGCTCCTCTCTTCTCCTCCGCAGGACGGGAGGAGGGGGGAGGAGGCGGGCCGGCTGCCAGAGCCCAGAGTGCGCGTCGGGGTGAATGGATGACGTCGGGAGGCTGGCGCCAGCATGTCTGGGACTGGCGCGTTAGATCAACACAGCTGGGCCGGGATAGGACACACAGCTGGCCCGGGCCTGCATTCCTCCACAAAACAGGATTGTGAGAAAAGGCGAAAATAAGACCCAAATAGGAGCAGAACGGGACGAGCTTTGATGTAGACTGAAAGACAGCAGCACCGTTTGGAAATGCTGGATTTTTAAATATATTCATGAAAACATACGTGTTGGTTTGGACGTGTAACCCTGGTGGGCGGAGTTTGACTTGTTTTTAATTAGTTTTAAGCTCTGGTGATTTGTGGTGTGAAGTTATTTTAAGGTTGTGTTCTTCACAGACAATGGGAACAGAAGCACAGACACAAGACACATACACCAACCAAAACTGTTCGACAACGCAATCGATACCGATAAGAAACTGATCAATATCGATAGTGTGTTTAGTTAAAACACTCAGGTGACCTTTAACCCATATTATATAAACTTATTGTGCACATTTCCCTTATACTTCAGTACTGAAACAGAGTACTACTGAATTTCAAACGGTTATATCATTTCATTCCTGTAAACCTCCTATCGTTATCTTAAGTCAGTCTGTTAGCTTATTTCTGGTTACATCTATTTTCTTTAATGTTGACAACTTAACTTTAAACCAACTTAACTTATGTTTAACAGCTGATTTCTGCCTTAGTCTGCACACAACATTCTGCTGAGTTTTTACCATTTTTGTTCAAATACAACTATTTTAAATTAACCCCAGGGATTTGTTGTAACTTCATTTCAATTCTTTGTTGTATTTTTCTGCTTCTGGCACGACTACTTTCATCATACCTGCAGCAATAACTTTTCCAGCATTGTTTAGCACTTTAATGCTAATGTTGAGCTAACAGTGCTATTGTTTTGTTAAATTTCAGCTATTTCGGTGGCCATTTGCAATGTTTGAGCCATCTTGTTATTGTTGTTTACTAAATATTAGCTACCCCAAATTAACCCACAGTCATTTTAATGTAATAACTGCCATTTCCGCTAACCTTCAGCCTCACTGTTTTAGCTTTCAGCTTTATTTAAGTGATTTGTTTCTTGAACTTTTAGCTACTTCGAAATCTTACCTCCTACTTGTTACTTTAAATAATTACTTCCGGCTACCCCGGCCAACCGTATATTTATATTTCGTAATTTAAAACACGAAAACTTTTCCCGAGTGTGTTTTGTAACAATTCAATCGCTGTGATAGTTTTACAGGTGGCGTCAAACCTGTGGATGTGTAACTTTTCTTCGTGTTTTCTGACCTATACACTGAATCGTTTCGTAGAATTCTGCCTCAAACCTGGGTGGCATGTGAAATGTGCGGACACCTCAAATCAACTATTCATTCGAACACATATTTAACCACTAGAGCTTCGTTTAAACAGATGTATCTCAGTAACTGACAGTCCCTTCAGGGCACAGCCATCCTCACATTATTTCCTCATACTTTCCAGTCCCGTCTACGAGGTTATTCCACCCAATGGGAATAGGCTTTGGCTTTCCGCTCTAACCAATCAGGGAGCTGTACGTGAAAGTGGGCGTCATCCGGCGCGAGGTGTATAAAACCAAAGTGTAGAGCGCTGTCAGGGTTCAGATCTGAAGCTCTACCGCAGAGACAAGGAAATAAATCTTATCCGTCACCGCAGGCTCAAACCCACACACCATCATCTTCATCATGAAGGCCATCAGTCCCGTCCGCTCAGTCAGGAACTGCTACAAAGCTGTGTGCTGCATCTCCGAGCAGAGCCTGGCCATCAGATAAACACTCCTGCGTGGGGGAGCCGGCTGGTGCTCTGTGCGACATGAACGACTGCTACTCCCGGCTGAAGCAGCTGGTTCCTAGCATCCCCCAGAACAAGAGCGTCAGCCAGGTGGAGATCCTGCAGCACGTCATCGATTATATCTTCGACCTGCAGATCGCCCTGCAGGCGGAGGAGGAGACGACCAGGAGCAGGCCGGAGGTGCTGCTCTCCATACAGGTGAGGATTGGGTTTGAACATGTCGTCAGTGAAAGGGGGAGATAAGGCTAGAGGAGAGTGAAGTCAATGTGGGGGAGACAGGGAGGAGGATGGAGTACACCAGGGGAGGAGGAGAAGATATCAGCGAAAAGAAGTTTGAGGGGATGAAATGCAAGTGTGTCTGCAGCTGTAGATTATCGCAACATCACATTCGTTGTGTAACTATTTTTTGTTGACCAACTGATTAATCGATTAGAGTCGTGTAGTGTATAAGATACAGTAAAAATGTCAGTCATCTTTATCTGTGACCTAAAAAATGTCACCGAACTAAAGGAAAACCTCTCGACTAAAAATTATAGACGTTCAAGGAACTTGACATCTGAGCAGTTATTCGTTTAACCGATTGTAGGAGTGACGGACTCCGCTGCTGCTTTTGAATGTGTTGACTCCGTTTTTGAGTCATTTGACTTGAGCTTTCAAGTTAATTTCAAAGTAAGGTTTAATTAAACAGATGTGACTGATCGTGAAAAGGACTCTTTGAACTACACACTAATCATTTTAATATTGAATAACAGATTTTAGTCGTTTTCTCTGAATATAAAAGTACTTGTTGTCCTAATGTGTTGTAATGATGCTGTAGTTTGTTTGTTTTTCGACTGCAACAGTAGAACAAGGTGTTGGTGGGAGTCACATGACAGACTCATCTGAAGTATTTTGTCTAAAAACTTTATCCTCTTTTCCTCCAGACTGCAGACCTCACTCACAACTTCCCCAAAGAAGAAGGGCAGCTGTGCCACTAGGAGGAGAGAGACCACAGATAATGGTGCGTTTTCGTTTTTTTCTCTCTCTCATTTATCTTCATGTCTGTGCTATAGTGAGACACCATATGTTTGTCTTCAGGCCATGTTTAGATGACTATAAGTCAAAATAACTGCCAGAATAATCACATGAAATGGCCGTGCAGCCCAGGAGATGCCCACACATACAGCACAAGTTCCCATTTGCGGTTAGCATTTAGACAGGCCACTGAGTGTGGAGCAGATTCATTGCTATCTGCCTGGGGTTAATGAAAGTTCCACGCTCGGCGCCAGTCTGTCTGCTCCCTCCCCTCCCTGCAGAGGGCTGAGAGATCTGACTTCACTTTTCTTCCTTTCTCTCCATGCAGGTGCAGGGAAACACATGTCTCCACTTCAGGCCGGGCAAGAGGACAAGAGGGCCAGAGAGGGTGGGATAGGTATTTGGGAAGAAGAAGGAGGAGGAGGAGGAGGTGCGTGGTTTTAAGAAAGGAAGAAAAGCCCAGAAAAAAAGTGGACTGTTTCCTAGATGAGGAGTAGGAGGAAAAACACAGACTCATACTTTTGGATCCTGGAAAGACAAATCAACACACCAAAGCAGAGGCCAGGACTAAAAAGTGAAAGTGAACATTCCCGCTCTAACAAACCAGAGACTCCTGATAGATACATTTTTAAAAACTATTGGTACATTTTCTTTTATTATTTTTGTTTCTTGCATTCCAAACCTTTTGACCCACACCGGTCAAACATCCCATAAAGTCGAATCATATGTAGATTTCTACCTTTGTTAAATGAATGTGTACATATCTGCTGTGAGTATGTGAGGTGTGTGTGTGCGCGTGTGTGTGTGTCAGTTTGTATAATCACAACTCTACACTAGAGTTAATTGTAAATGTTTGTAGGGATGGTGTTATTTCTGCAGACAAGCTGAAGTGAGTTTCATAAACTCTTTTTATTCTAAAGTTTGCTTCACATGTACGTTCCTATGTTAATGAAATAAAAGTGAACCAATCTGATTGCCTGTTGATGTGAACTGCTTGTGAAACTCCAGTGATGCTGACATGTCGTTAGAGAGGCAGTGGATGATGGTGAAATGCCGATACAGCAGGATGTGTTCAGATGAATCTTGAGGTCTGAGTGGTGGGAAGTCAAACAACGCGGAATTTCCTGTGAGAACTTCTATTTTTTCCAAAGCAATACCATTTACCAGCAGTGTGAAGCAGCGATGCTTCCTACACAGAGCAGAGCAAAGGATGTTGAGGTGTACTGTAGCCAGCACATCAGTCGCTGAGGTCATTCACAAAGATTCTGACCATCATCACATCCATTTTTACGGTGTTGTGTATGGGCCAGTCAGTATTTTCAGGCCACTGCCAAAAAAACCTTTTTAAACCAAAATATTATTAAATTTAATACACAAAACTAAAATGTGTGTTTTTAATGGAAAGATGGAAAGATCGCATTCCTGGCAAAGTTGGTAACTCATTATTTAACCTATTAGTCAACTTTTAAGACCAGATAAATGACAGTGAATAATATATTAATTAGATTTTAAATAGTCTAAGCTGGTCTCTAAAATTGATGAAACTACTCTACCCTGCGGACGACCGTGGGTTTGCAGTCCAAAGAATCATGACATTAATAACATCAATGGTTGTGGTTTGATAAGCGACAGTAAAGCAAAAGTGTGATGTTGTTGACGGACGTGTTGTTATGACACTTAATTAACACCGACATTTAAATTCTCAGAAATTGTTCAAATTGTATACCATGTGTTCGACTCAAAGGACCCCCATTAACAATATTGAAGTTACACTCCCATCTAGTGGTCAAAATGGAGAATCGCTTTAAAGTGTTCCTCGTGTCGTATTTCCTTGCCCAATATTTTATAAAGGCATTTTCCTTGAGAGCAAGTTCTTTCAAACCGTATATACGCTGGCGTTTGTTTTTTATATTTACATATATTTTTACTTTACAGAAAATGTACATAATAGTTTGTGTTTTTAAACCGTTGCAAAAGCTAACATACCGTTAGCTTCCGGCTCAAACCAAAATCACGAAGGTGGCTAACCGGAGTTAGCTGGGACAAGACAGAACCACATAAGAGAACTATGTAAGTGTATTTTTGAACATCTTTCACTCGTAACGGCGTTTGATTAAGTCAGTAGTCCATTCGTCTGTCATTCTGTTCGTACACGGCTCATAATTTTCTCTATTTATAGTCAAAAGACAGTTCTGAAGCGAACCGGTCATGACGCTTTGGTTGTTGTAAACAGATTTTACCACAAGATGGTGATGTTGGACTGGCGAGACTAGAATGATTCTCTACCTCATTACAAATATAATCTTAACAGTCTACAGACAACCTAAACTCCATGTCACGATGGGTGTCTGCAGGAAAAGTGCTGCTGCTTTAATGACTCTTTTGTGACCTTGTTTTATTTTTTTAGATTGGTTACCCTAATATCATCAACACAGTAAGACCTCAAATTATTTTTTTAAACATAGCAGTACAAGCAGAAAATGGTCTTAGGTTTATAGGCTGTGCAACCTGGCTGTCAAATGGCTTATGTCCAGTAATAGGTCTTGTTCTTCCTCTTGGCTGCCATGCCTCAGTTTATATTAAGAACATTCTACATTTTTGATGTCCCGTTTGCAGTCCTTGACTTGTCTTGACTTGTTTTTAAGGCTTTAAATCACCATTCAATTGTTGTTGAATGTTGTTTAAAAATGTTTGTTTAAAAACTGCTCAGTTTACCTTTTTGTTGAAATATGCAGTTTAATCTGAGACCTGGTGAAAATCAAACAGATATTTCTAATCCTGTCTCATAGTTCTTAACCTTTTTATTTTGTGAAAAGTTAAGAAAGGTAAATCTTAGTAAAATTAGTAACTTTTGGACAGTAACTGGGCCCCGGGCCGTAGTTTGACCATGCCTGGTTTAGCATATGAAGAGTTGGTGGTCAGGGGGTGCAGATCTCTGTTCTGGTTCTGGAGTACTGGTACTGATGCAGACTTCCTAGAATGTTCTGTTCAACATCCAATCAAAATTTTCACCTTACTAAACTACAAGTTGTGATCAATTTTACTGCATTTCTCCATTCCTTCTAATTACACTTTCATTTACAATTTTAAATTAAACTACGTTACAT